AATATTGAAATACTATCGGGCAACTGTGACCGCACGACGAACTTTGGACGGTAATGAGCACATGCGAAATCACTGTTCATTTTCGCCTATAGGCGTTGCGTATTGTTTTCCATTTATATATATAGCAAGAAAACGGATGCGCTAACGCAACGACTTATATATATATATATATTATACAGATCCAAATGACTTGAAATTTTAGGTGTGTGATCTTCTCATCAAGGCGCACCTAATAAAAATATAAAAAAAATTATCCATGAAAAGGAAAATCACCAAAATACCTCTCGAAACTTTTTGGGGTATTTTGGTCAATTTATTTCATGTAAAATATTTTTTTGATATTTTTCGAAGATTCACCTATTTTTGATGAACACACACCTAAAATCTGGGCCGTTGGGCTCATATGAGCTAGTGGGCTAATCCCATTTTTTTCATATATATATATATATTCCATCTCTCTCTCTCTCGATTGACAACAAAGAAAGATAGGGTTTTGGTCAAGTTTTTAAGCATCTCTCTCTGTCTACCTGCCTTTCTCTCTCTCACTTCTTTGCTCTTGCTTGCTCAATCTTTTCTTCTGGATTGCAGCTTCTTATAGAGCTAGATGGTGCTGATCAGCGTAAAGGTGTTTATGTCATTGGCGCGACAAATCGGTACTTAGTTTTCTATTTTGCCCTTACTGTTATCATGATTTATATGTCCCTATGGTTCCCACTTGATTTTCTCTCCCTTATTTCTTGCTATCACTTTACAGACCAGAAGTGTTGGACAAAGCTGTTCTAAGACCAGGCAGGCTAGGCAAACTTCTTTATGTCCCATTGCCCAGTGCCAAAGAGAGAGAATTGGTTTTGAGAGCGGTTTCTCGAAAGATGCCATTGTCTACTGATGTTGATTTGGGCGCACTCAGCCAAAGAGAGGCCTGCAATAATCTTAGTGGTGCCGACCTTGCTTCACTGGTATGATTTGTATGATTCCTATTATGCAAGAGTATGACATAATCTAGTGAAGTATGTTATGCAGTATTCCAAAGGGCACATTGTTTTTTCCTTTGATGGATGGTGGTGGTAATTAACTGTTAAAAGGGTTTTTATCCTGGTGATTCCCCCCCATAGTAATGTCTACTGTCTGAAAGTATGGTGGATGCCTCTTTTGAGTACTTCATACCAAACCTCATTGGATTATAGTACAGTTCCCTTATTTCGTTTCGTTCACTTTCTATTTCAAATTGTGATTGTTTTCTTTTTTGATAATTAACATTTTATTAAAACGTGAAAGTGGTAACTACAACCCTCTCTAAGAGTACAAGAGCCCCACTCGCACAACTATTTGCTAAAGTATCCACTTCAGTGTTTGCTTCCATAACTACATAATAAAAAATTTAAGCGTAGACGCATGTAAGCCAAAGATCTAAAAGATGGTCAACAATTGCCAAGGGGTTGCAGCTTCCCTCTGAGCCCATCTCATTACATTTAGATCGTCACTGTCAACATTGTTTCAGTTTGCGATTGTTGGTTTTTGCTTTTTATTATCTATTTTAACTAGAATCCTCATGGAGGCCAAGGGGGTTGGTAAGTTTGTTATAAATGAATGATAGGGGAATGGAATAGTGGAAGAGATTGAAGCATGATGAAAACTTGAACATTCTAGACTTATAGGGCAACAAAAACTCATTTATATCTTGTTAGCGATGCCAACCACTGGGTGGCTTAGCTTCGGTTGTGGTAGTGTCCTGTCTGCTACTGCTTCCTAAACACCCTTTTGTGCGTATATCTAAGTCTTTAATATCCATTCACCCAAAAAAAGAAGTCTTTAATATCCATATATGGTTGATTTTCCCAGAAGTGTTTGACTAGATTCATCGAATGTGAAATCAGTACATGTGAAGTGGCACCATATAAGCCAAGGTTTAAAACCACAGTTGATTTGGATTGCCCCTCAGGAAAACCGGTCCGGATCAGCGGTCTAGATCGGCGATCGGGCCTGGTGAACCAGGGAGTAAAAAATTTTAAAAATTGAAGAAAATTTAAAAACAAAGTGGGACTGGTTCTATGACAGAAGCGGCTAGAACTGGCTGGTTCATGGGTTAACCGGTGGGTTCCCTATAGTTAGCAGGATCTGGATTGGCCTGATTGGTTCCCAATCTGGACCCGCTGGTTCTGATCCGGATGACCAATTTTTAAAACCTTGATATTAACCTTTGAGTTATGCTTCAAGCCCTCCTATTGTTTCGAAAATGAGATTTCATGACACTGGATTACTCTTTTCTCCTCTCTGCAGGTGAATGAAGCAGCCATGGCTGCCTTGGAAGAAAAATTGCAGTTGCCAAAAGCAGTGACCACTGGAGAGAAGAAGCCACTGGTCATCAACGCCTCCCATTTCGAGAATGCCATGTCAAAGGTTGTCCCATCTGTATCTGTGAAGGTAAACAGCCTCAAGTATACTTCTTCCTGTTGATTGTAATTCATGGCTTTTAGTTGGTGTGTGTGTTTCAGAGAGAGAGATCTTCCTGTTACTTGTAATTCATTGCTTTTACTTGGTGTGTGTGTCACAGAGAGAGAGAGAGAGAGAGAGAGAGAGAGAGAGAGATAAATGCTAATGCGTAGAAACACTCTGTAAAACAGCAAAGAAGATACTACGACAACTTGGCTAGGATATTCGGGCAAGCAATGAATCAGAAACCTGGTTCGATAGCAATAGGTGGACAACATGGTTCCACCATTGATACTCAACCCGAGCTCTGAGTCCGCACTTGGTTGAAGAAAAGAATTTTGTCATATATTTTCACTAGAGAGCTCATGCAGTCTCTACGTCAGCCCATCCAAAACAGGGTGGAGGCCGCTCGCTTAATTTTTGGAAAGCCTAAATAACGTCATGGGTTGTCTAATTTTTGAGATTTAAGTGAGGATGTAACAATTGTTTTGTCATGGGCTCTTACTATGGAGAGCATCTGATGCATTTTTGTTTTTGATAATTTGTCTGTAATGCAAAAAGTTTTGTTATTTATTTATTCCAAGAGTAATGGAATTTTTGTATACTTTGAAAAATAATGTTTGCAGTTGCAACTTCCATAAAGGAGGCATGCTTTTATAGATTAAATTATCACGTATTCTCTCTCTCTCCTTTTGGTTAAGTATTGAATACTCGCATGTAATTTAGTTTTTCTAACTCATTATTGTGAACTTTTATGTATGGGTGCGGTTTCTATAAGGATGCAACCTTAAACAATCCAATTAACTCGCACCTCAAAATTTTATCATAACATATGATTTTGTTGTAAAAAATTCTTACGATTATCTTAAAATCTATTTTCATATATAATTATAAAATTTTAAATTCTAAAAATGGTGAAAATCAAGTAGATCTATAAATATATGAAAATCTTGAAAATAGACGGTCTAGATAATATGTTGCAAGATGCACTATTTCTGGAACTCAAAATATTTTATTTTTTCATATACATACATCTCGATACTGAGATGATTGATTAGAGCGTTTTTCAACATTAAAACAATATTTCCAAATTTTTTTTGAGGTGTATATGTGATTTTACATTTTAAGATTGCAACCTTATATAAACTTTGCCCTTTATGCATTAGCTGAGTGTATCATGTTTCCTGTGATGTGTATACCATGCCAGGACAGGAGCATACTGTGCATCTACCTTATATAAACTTTTCCCTTTATGTATTAACTGTCAGTTACCTCCTAAGATAAAAGGTCCGCTCCCCTTGAATCAATTGGTTCAGCAGCAGTTTGTCCTTCCCCATGTCATAGAGCTCAGGCAAAGGGGCTCCTTCAAGTCTTTAGTAGGACCTGCCTAAAATCCCCAAGAACTCAGTTTCAAGAAGCCAAAAAGATTGACACAAGAGGACATTGTGGGGCTATTGAACAACCATCTGTACTCCAACTGGAGAGAAACCATAGTCCCTAGGGTCTAGCCGATAAGCTGTGCTTCCATTAGAAGTGCAGGTTCTGTCGATCAGGGTGATGATGGAGCACGGATTCAAGTGGAGGTGCTATAATGTATCTACATTTTTTTTTGTAGTCTATCAGCAAAACCTTACCATTAGTGGCATTTTGCTTGGAACAGAGACATGCGAAGCAAGAACGCAACCTATTCAGGCACAACTCTTTAAGGAAATTTTATCTTTTTTTTTTCGCCATTGTTAACAAATATTATTGATAAGTGGACGTTACGTAAGGGAAATTACATCATCAGATATCACAAGTGAAGTCAAAGAGGTACCACTCTTAGCAAAAGAATCAGCCAAACCATTAGCCTACCTAAAAACATGATGGAAGGAACAGTGTGGTTCCGGCATATCTAGGATCTGCAGCCACATTGATTTAAGCTCCCATGGCACCTTATGTTCTTTATTACACCACCGAATGACATTCATAGAATCTCCTTCAATCAAGCAACAATTTCTGATATTTCTACTAATAAAAAGTTTCAATCCATGAAAGAGTACGAGAAGTTTTGGGTGGTTAGTAGTAGCCTCACCAATTAGACCAACATAAGTAAAATTAATTGCTCTATTCCAATCCCTTATTACCCCACCTATACCAGCTCTATCTAAATTGCCAAAAGAGCTGCCATTAAAATTGAGTTTTGAACCCACCCTGTAATGGCGGCATCCAAACTCCAAAGAAATTTTATTCCCGCAGTTAATGACCATAGCATCTAAATCTGGCTTTATTCAACTTAGTCAATTGGCTTGATAGCATCAATCTAATCTTTTCACCAATTCATCATAAATATACCTTATTATTTTATAGGAAATATATAATAAGACTATTTACTTGTAGTACAAGGAGGTACTTGCCGAGACAGTGCCAATTACCGAACTCAAAATCCCAAAATATTTTCTCAACGTTGTGACAGTCAAAGATGCCATATTACACCTAACAACTAAAGAGAATGTTTGTGATCTTATTTTACAATTGTAAATGGTCATACATATCATCATCATTATCAAATCCTTTTTCTACTAATTAGAGTTGGCTACACGAATCTTAGTTTGCCATTTTGTTCTATTAAGGGCCAAACCCTCAGTGAGGTCATAAGTCCCATATTTTTTCTCACTACTTTCAACCGTGTCTTTTTTGGTCTACCCCTTGTCCTTTATGAGCATTCCACTTGAACTAATTTGCACCTCCTACCTGATGCTGTAATGGGTTTGCACCACACATAACCTGTCCACCTAAATCTACTTTCTCTCATCTTATCGCCGTACAATATACAATCCCTTATTTTGTTATATTTATATATGAGTAAAATAGTAAACTTCTTGACACCAATCTTTTTTATTTTTCCACTCTCTGCATGCCATTGTTCACATTTCTTGAGAAAGAATAAGAGGGTATACGTATTTGTTTCTAACCAACGTAGGTTGGTCTCTTTCTTGCACCAATATGAGAACTAACAAAGACCCCTATTCAAGTAGACTAAGACGCATGAACTAACTTATTAACAAACTTAGTTGTATCCAACCATATTCCCAACTATTAACTCAAACTGAAATTCTTTAACTTATTAAGGACTAGTAATGATATATTTCAAAAGAATGAGAAGCTGTATATTTATATTTAAACTCAAAAGAAAACTCCATCGTGCAAAATCTAGTTCAGGCTATGTTCCGTTTTTTTTTTTTTGGTAATTAGTGGGGATGCTTATCCAGTTTTTCAAGTAGTTAAACTGTCCATAGGATTGGAAGGCACAACGTGCAATTGAGATATGAGGTGTGCTACCACCGTGAACTTAGCCCCTTTCCCAACTCAACCTTTTGGCTAGCCTAAAAAAAATTAAGGGGAAATTTTATATATGTATCTACCCAAAATATCCTAAACACATGCCCTTTTACTAGTCTTTTTTTTTTTTTTTCTCACAAAAAATCGCTTGGCACTATTTTCTTTGCATTTACCTCCGAAGTAAAGGTTTTTTGCAATCTAGGACAGAATTTCTTGAAGTCGGTTTCATACAGACTTGATTTCTTTTGTTTACTTGAGGATGATTTGGCACTCCCAAGTGTCAATTTGACTCTTATTCAATTTGTTTTGCCCATGGTTGATTTGACACTCCAAATGCTGAATCGATTTGAGGGAATTTTGTTCAAAATTTGTCTAAATATTTCACTCGAAGGTAGATGACCCAAAAAAAAAAAAAAAAAGAGAAGGAAAAAGCCGAAGGACTTGAGTACAAAAATTTAGCGGGGCTATGTGTAGGATATTTTAAGCAGGGGGTACATGTAATTTTCTCAAACAACAACAATACAATATGCAATCTAAAAGCGCTTGGAAATTATCAAGTCCTAAGATTGAATAGAGACCGTCCTGCACAATCAGATCAAAGTATTTAAGAGAGCCGAATAATTTCTCTTTTATTTTTCTTTCTTTTTTGCAAAATACTTATATGGTGATTTTACGTGGTTCGAAGATTATGATCAAGAGAATCCTCCTAAAGTGAGTCTTTAGCCTAAGAGAGCTAATGAACATGAACTCATCATATTTGAATACTATATGGTAAATTTTTGCATGTTTTTGTGTATTGTTTTATGGGATTGTTTATAAAGATACCATTTACTTTTTATATAAGGGGTAAGTTATGAAGTCCGAGAAATTGTCAAATTGGATGGTTTGGGGTGAGTAATGAAACCCGAATTTTTTTTTTTTTTAAACTTTGTGTCTATTCAGTGATACACTTACAACTGCTCATTTTAAAATCTAAGAGACAAGAATGATTGTGACCTCTTTGTATGAAAGGTAAATAGTTACTATATATACGATCCCTTATTTTCTTCATTCTAAAAAGTTGTACAAATAAAAGCGACCAATATCCCATTATAATGAAATAGATTTTCACGTTATTATAAGGGTTTTTATGATTTGGAACTATGCCTTATTTTGATTGTGTAAGGTTGAAGCCTTATACAAATCACGCTGATAGGGGTGGCAACAGGTTGTGTATGGGTCTGGTTCGACTGGACCGAGAGCCGGATCTAGACCCATCAGGTTTGGTCAGATCCATTGCCACTCTATGACTGTGAGTTTTTTTTTTATTTTTTTTTATCATCATATACACCATGACTATGAATTTTTTTTTTTTTGGTCAATAATACTGTAATGTTGCCAATATTTGTGATAATATGAGCACGTAGAGCGGACCTAAAGACACATGATTGCCATCATATACCGTATGACTATAGGTACAACTTGGTTCCAATTGGACCCAGACATAGACCCAATAGTATTCGGGTCCAAAATTTGGACACATACCCGAACCCAAGGTCAGATATACCCGTTGGGTCTTGGGTCTAGCTTGGTCCATTGCCACCCCTGCACACGCGTTAAGCGACTAAAGTGAAATTTCATTGAATTATTTAATGGGAGGGCTTTCTATGTGACCCCACCTACATATATGGAATATATAACCTCTGGTCTCAGCCATCAGATTATAGCAGATGGTTGAGATGACTTGAGTCACAATGTCATAAGCTAGCATTTAACCGTCAGATATTGATTTGAAGGCTCATAGTGTTTTATTTTTTATTTGCATTCTGCAAATGATTTTGAAGCAAAATTTAGGGCATGCATAGATCTAACAAGAGCGTACATGAAAAAAATATTAAAACAATATTTTCGATGATGAAAAGTTACCAAAATACTCTTGGAAAATTGTAGGGGCATTTTGGTCATTTATTTTTATATAAATATTTATTTATTTTTTATTTTTTCCAAGTTCGCCTTAAAGTTTTTGATGGGCATCCCAAAATTTCATAAAAAGAATGTTTAGTAAAAAAAAAATAAAAATAAAACAATGTTTGATATGATATTGTGGTATGAACAATCCTAGCGTCTGATTCAGATTGAACTGTTAAGAAGTGGGGCGCATATAACTTATATGGGGTCACATAGAAATATTTCTCTTATTTAATAAGTTTTGAAAGAATTTATGCGATTAAATTCCTCGAATAAGATTTTAATGAAAATATAATTAAAATTGTCTATCTCATCGCCTCATTTACGGGGGAGAGGAGAGTCCTAACCGCATGAAAACCGACATAACCGGTCGCCAAAACCCAACAGTCTTTCTCTCTCTAAAAACCCAACAGATTTTCTCTCTCTAAAAACCCAACAGCCACCTTCTCTCTCTAAAAAATCTCTGTTGCATCAAATGAAATCTCACCAAACCCCAAACGTCCCGGCTTCTTCTCTTTTGAAATTGCCCTTTCTATTATCAACACAGCGCATAAACTCTCTCTCTCTCTTGTTCAGGGGTGAATTACAGAGAGAGGCCATTCCTCTCTCTCAAGAGATGTAAATGCCGTTCTATCGATTGTATCATTTGGGTACTAAAAGGCATTACAAACCTTTGATATATGCGTTTTCCTTTCCATTTTCTTCCTCTCTCTCTTCTTCAGGAATGAAGGATAGACAGAGGCGATGCTCTCTCTCATGGAGCAAGTTCTTCAAGTTCACCTTCCTCTTCTTCTTCTGCCTTGTTTTCATATTCTTCTTTTCGCATTTCAGGCTCCTTATTGGTAATCCCTCTCTCTCTCTCTGGTACCATATTTTAAAAAGCTCTCAACTGGTTTCAATTGTGAATCTCAATGTATATTTTCTCTTCCCTGAATATGACTGCAGATTTCTCTCTCCCTCTCCCTCTCCCTCTCTCTCTCTCTTGACACAGATATACATTGGCCTGTACAATAGCTGTCCTTTTTGTTTTCCTGCATGAATATTCACTTGTCAATCTCTCTCTCTCCTCTATGAATCTCTACTTGTCAATCTCTCTCTCTCCATCTCTCCCCCCTATGAATCTCTACTTGTCAATCTCTCTCTCTATCTATAAATATATGCCTGCCAATATCTCTCTCTATCTCTCTCCCCTCTATGAATCTCTACTTGTCAATCTCTCTCTCTCTCTCCATCTCTCTCCCTTCTATGAATCTCTACTTGTCAATCTCTCTCTCTCTCTCCCTCCCTCTAAATCTCTGCTTGTCAATCTCTCTCTCTCTGGCATATTCCATAACCGTCTGAACTTGGGTTTTCTGTCTGAAATTTCTACATGTTTTTTGAATATCTGTTTCTCTCATGGACATATTTAGAAAATTCCCAAGTTGGTTTTCCTGTACATGTTTTTTAAAATCTCCCTCTCTTGTATATATCCTAAAATTTCACAATTTTGGTTTCCTCTTGTGAATTTGCACATGTATTTAAATCTCTGCTTGTCAATCTCTCTCTCTGGCATATTCTATAACCCTCTGAACTTGGGTTTTCTCTCTGAAATTTCTCCATGGACATTTTTTGAATATTCCATGGATTTTTTGAATATCTGTTTCTCTCATGGACATATTTAGAAAATTCCCAAGTTGGTTTTCCTGTACTTGTTTTTTAAAATCTCCCTCTCTTGTGTACAACGTAAAATTTCACAATTTTGGTTTCCTCTTGTGAATTTGCACATGTATTTTGACTCTCTATGTAAATAAGATTATCTCCATGCTCTCTCTTGTTTTTCTAAGATTGGTTTCCTATGATTTTTTTCTTCAGGATCACCATCATTCAGGCCAGTTCTTGTGGCAAAGAGGCCCCTGCCCACCTTTAATGCCATCTTCAAAGACAATTTCCTCAGAGAATTGGGGCCTAAGTCAGAGATCAGGATCCAATCCATAGTCCATTTACCTGATCAATCTCTCGTCTTAATCAACAAGCTCTCGGCCCCCTATCCTCCTGATAAATCAGAATTACAGTGCATCTACACCTCTCCTGATGAAGCCGTGCCTTTAAAGCTCCCTGTAATGGCCGTTGACGAAGAAGAGGACTTCAATTTTCATATCATCAGATGCCCTTTCCCACCTGAAGGCTCCAATAGCTCTCTATCTAGGGTACCCATCTCGAAAGTAGAGAGAGGAGGGGCAGCAGACAGGATATTTGAGGGAGAGAGGCCTATTAAGGCCTACAATTGGGATTCTCTTGTGTATGAAGCTCTCCTCGATGGGGATACGACTCTGGTCTTTGTGAAAGGCCTGAATCTTCGACCTGAAAGGCTCTCTGATCCTTCTCGTTTTACCTGTGTTTTTGGTTATGATTTTAGCAATCCCAAACTCTTGCTTAGAACCAAAGTGTTATCGGCTGCTCAAGAAATCATTCGATGCAAAACACCTTTAAGCCTTTTGAGAAACCCAGAGAAACTTGAATCAATTAAGGTTTCAATCGAGATTCGATCTCTGAGGTCTCGAGTTTCTTCAACTCACACTACCACCATTCTTCCCTCTTTTGCCAACATAAAACACATTAGTGGCATCGATAGTTTTTCGGGAAATGGTGGAGAGAATGGGTTGAATTCATTGTGGGGTTCTACAGAGAGGCTGGGGAAGAGTTTTACAGAGAAGAGGGAGGATTCATGGATGGAGAATGGTGTGGATTACAGATACAAGGGGAGGAAGTTTGGAGAGAAGGGGGCCAAAAGAGTGAAGATGGTTAGAGGATTGACAGAGAGAAAACCCAAATACAGTGTGTGTATGTGCACCATGATGTGGAACCAAGCCCAATTCATCAAAGAATGGGTCATGTACCATACTCGAATCGGGGTTGAGCGCTTCTTCATATACGATAACAACAGTGACGACAACCTTGATGCGGTGGTTCGAGCCCTCCGAGCCCATAATGTGAGCCGTCGAGCCTGGCCCTGGGTCAAGACCCAAGAGGCCGGATTTGCTCACTGCGCCCTAAAAGCACGATTCTTATGCTCATGGCTTGCCTTCTTAGACGTTGATGAGTTCCTCTTCCTCAAGAACCCTAATATCACAAAGACCACAAACCCGAACACCACAAAGCCCAAAAACCGAAACATAAACACAGACATAGAGGCCTCAAAACCAATGCAGTCTATTCTTGTATCACGGGCCCCCAACGTGGGTGAGGTGCGGATCCCATGCCACAGTTTCGGGCCTTCAGGCCATGTCCAGGCTCCATCCCATGGCGTCACTGTGTCTTACACATGTAGATTGGGAGCTCCCGAGCGACACAAATCGGTAATCAGACCAAGAGCAGTTAACCAGAGTATGATAAATATAGTGCACCATTTCCATTTAGGGTTAGCGTTTAGGTTTGAGGACATGGGGAGAGGAGAGGGGGTGGTTAACCATTACAAGTATCAAGCATGGGATGTTTTTCAGAGGAAATTCTACAGGAGGGTGGCAACGTATGTCCCGGATTGGGGGGAGAAAGAGGGGGTGGGGTCAAGGGACCGGGCCCCAGGACTGGGGACGACACCGGAGGAGCCCAAGGGTTGGGCAAACAAGTTTTGTGAGGTGAGGGACACAGGGTTGAGAGAATGGGTGAAGAGAGAGATGAGGGATCAAAGAACAGGGAGGTTGCCCTGGGAGGAGGATGAGGAAAAGTTTTTAGAGAGATAAATTAGGGTTTTAGATTTGTGATTTTGAGTTTAATTGGGGCTCTGATACCCATTGTTGAGTTTAAAAAGTGATTGTTTTATCAGAATTGGGATTGGTTTTTTTGTATCCAATTGGTATTAGAGCAGGTTTGAATTAATACTTCATCACTCTCACTAGAAAGAGATGGGTTACAGATTTTGACTGTATGATCCCCTACTCTGGTCCATCAATTTTTGAAGCCGACAGTGATGATCATCTCGTGTTCATGCTAATGGTGCTGGTGGTGTGCCATCCATATGTGTTGGAGAAGATTTGGGGGCGGGCTGATTTTCTCATAATCAAATTTTTTGGTTAAGTTTCTCTTGTAAATATAGAGAGTTCTTAAATATAGAGTTTAAGTTGGCCATTGAGGAGCAAATTTTGGAAGAGCCTGGTGTTAACTGTAATAACAGGCACTCTCCCTCTATCTATGCAGATTGTGGCTCTCCCTCTCTCTCTCTCTAAGAATTTCTCGCACTTTATCTCTCTCTCTAAGGAATTAATTGTACAGACTGTGGAGATGTTAAAAGGAAATATTTATCCAGTGATGTTAAAGCAGGGCTTGAAGCCCTCATGTGAAGTTATGATCTATAGAAATTCTTTATAAAAACCTCATCCTTATGGTACTAAAGATACCGATTCCATTCTCATCAAAGGGTTGGGGCTCAAATCCCCTGACTTACCCCTTTTTTTTATATATATATTTATATCTTGCCATAAGAGGTTCCATACAGCTTAATCTCTTATGAACTCCATGTAACATAATCTCTCTCTCTGAGCAGCTCCATGTTACACCTCTCCCCCACTCACTCTCTCTCTCTCTCCTACCCAATACGACGTTATTACTGTTCCATGCGATATCCTTGTTACTGTTCAATTAGGTTTTGCTATGCTCTTGAATGCTTTCCTTTTCAAGCATCAAGCTAATTGTGTTTGAATTTGGGTTAGGTTTTGCTATGCTCTTGAATGCTTTCCTTTTCAAGCATCAAGCTAATTGTATTTGAATTTGGGTTTTGCATGTAACTGATAAATTAAATCATGCAGAGAGAGAGATACTTGTTTGTGAGAGAGTGATTAATCATTTGTTAAGAGAGAGATTAGTTGTTTGTTGAGAGAAAGATTAGTTGTTGGAGAGAGAAAGATTAGTTGTTTGTGAGAAGAGAGAGATCAGTTGTTGGAGAGAGATTATATTTATTAGGAATTGGGGAGTAGGCTCACTTTTAAAAGTTGAAAGTTTTACTTTTAAACTCTATTTTACTGTTAAGAAAAAGATTAGTTGTTTGTTGAGAGAAAGATTAGTTGTTTGAGAGAGGAGAGAGATTAGTTGTTTGAGAGAGGAGAGAGATCAGTTGTTGGAGAGAGAGATATTATATTTATTAGGGAATGGGGAGCAGGACAACTTTTAAAAGTTGGAAAGTTTTACTTCTAAATTCTATTTTACTTTTAAACTCTATAGATTTGGTTGATGTATTATCCAGCAGGTAAGTATAAAGGTCATCAAGCTTACAAAAAGGAAAAAACAAAAAGTTTGAAGTACAAGAAAGTAACTCTGATTTTGTCTCATCTTGTGTGCCCAAGTATAGAGAATCTATACCTAGCTTCAAGGCTCCTTCTTGAACCCTTTGACTTGAAACCTCAACCAAGAGGAAGGAACCCTATACTTGCCTTGGCTTGAAGAGATGGTTAGTGTAAATTTAAAGCATAAGAAAAGCATCATCAAGCTTGCCTTCCTAAGCAGCTTTAGAAGGTCACAACACCAATTATGAAACATGTATGTACATTGTGACTTGAGCAATGCCTGGTTGGTCTGATGGTGACTCCATGGATTCATTTGCTTTTGTTTATGAGCTTCCTCACTGCTGGAGAGAGAGAGAGAGAGAAAACATTTGAATTCCCAATTAATGGTATTCTAAACCATTGGTAGAATTTAAAGAACAAGCTAATAAAAAAGCCACTGGAAATTCTGACCGGTACAACTGCATATTTGTGTGAAAAAGTGTTTTTGGACTCAGTTGATTGGTGAGGGGAGTTGGGTCCCCAACACATGGGGCATCAAACCACCAAAAAGAATTGGAAAACACTAATATATTATTTAGAATATTATCCTTAAATGGTTTTTTTTTCTAGCTTTTAAGGTTATTTGGGAACTTTCATATTTTTATTTTTTGAAATATGTGACCTATAAATAAAAATTTGAATACTCCATCTCTTATATATATTTTTCATCTTCTTTGGTCTTTTATACCTCTTTCTTATCTTTTTTGATTTTCAACTTTTTTTCTTTTTTTTGGTTGATTTTCAACTATTGAAGAAAAATGAACAGAATGTTCTTATACTGGCTTTTATACCTTGATTGTTTTTCTCCATAAATCTCTAGAAATTCTCAATTTTAGGCATATCTTTTAGGTTTACAATATTATCTCTGTGCTCAATATTCTATCTTTTTTCCTACCATAATGCGTGTTATGTTGTTCGAAATTGTAACCTTTTTGTCTGAAGATTTCAACTTGCAAAGAGGGAATTGCTATAAGTGGTTTATGAGCTAGATCCAGTATCAAATGGGTTAATTGCACCTCGTCAAAAGTATCTAAAATTTCATATAAGTGCTCAATAGTATCATTATATCAAATTAATGATTCAGATAAAGCTAAAAAGGAGCATATTCCATATAAACAAGCCATTGGGTCTCTTATGTATGTTATGCTTTGTACAAGACTTGATCTTAGTTTTGCAATATGATATGTTAGTAGATTTCAAAGTAACTCAGGTATAACTCATTGGCAAGCAATTAAAATGATACTAAGATATATCCAAGGAACCAAACATTATAAATTATGTTATCTGCAAATTCAAAGATTCTCTGATGAAGACTTTGCAGCAGATCCTAATGATAGAAAATCCACTTCTGGAGATCTTTTCATCTTTGGAGGAGTTCTTGATTTAATAGAAAATAGGAATGTGCTGCCCCGTGCACAATGGAAGCGGACAACATCTCTTGTAATATAGCTTTTACTTTTGCCGTTTGGATAAGCCGCTTCATTAAGGATTTGAAGCTGGAAATAGACGACGAGCCAGTTCAGATATTTTGTGATAATCAAGTTGTAATTTTGTTAATTAAAAATAGAGCAATGAGCTTTAAAGGCAGACGCATAGAAGTTGATTATCACTATATGCTAGACAGAACGGAAAAGAAAAAAATTACAATAAGTTATTTGTCTTCCAATGATATGATAACAGACCATTTAATAAAGTGATTGATTGCTGAAATGTTATCCAAGCATGCGACCATGATAGGACTTAAAGAGATATAACTTTTCTTCCCAAGAGGCACATTTTGAATGTTACAAATGATTAATTCTTATTAGTGAACAAAATCTTGTTGCAAAGCATGTCACATTGGGTAAAACCTTAAATGGGCAAAACCTTATAGCTTAACAACGTTGGTGCATTCGTCCTTTTGGGCAAATGGGAGTGTTGGAGTACGACCACTAAAACCCCATGACCACCATAGTGTTCTTGGTCACTCTCTTACCTTCTGATTCTAAATGTATTTAATTCAATTTAATTACATTATATACTTGCTATAATGATCTCATTGTATTCAAATCTTTTGACTATCTTTTATAGTAAATTTCATTTTCTTTCTTTCTCTTAACCACCCATAAATGATATTTTAACGGTCACATTGAACAAAAACATTTTTATTTGGAAGAGAAAATGATAAAAAAAAGAAGACTCAGCTATAGATTTGGCGGAGAAAATCTAGACCATTGAATGTCAAACCTGTCATATCTGGCAAGAAGATAAGCTCTAATTATTATAAAAAAGGCTCACTCACCTATTAGAAAATACAGAAAAAAATCTCAGAACCATTGCTCATCTTTTTAGCCGTCTAAAAGCTTACAGCAAAATTCTTTTATATTTTTCTCTCTCTATCATTTCATAAATATTTTTTTCTTTTATGCCCCATCGTTCCGCAATTATAACATTTAGACGGGTTGTTATAGGCTTTTCCTCTCTTGATGATTTGAAATCCTTACCCCTTTATTTAAATCGATTGTCGTTGTTTCCGTAAAAGAGGCCGATAGAATGCTAAAGGGAAGGTCTTTGGTGACGCCATCCCTGGTTGTGCAATAAAAAATTAGAAGAGGCAACAACACTACTAGTATGAAGTAGCGTAGACCCACCAAGGCTTGTTTGACTCGGTGGAAGGCACCAAAGGACAAATCCTATATGGACAAAATTATAGCAAAAATTGAGAGAAAAGAGAATGACCCAATAAAATTCTTTTGCCAAATGGAGTGCTGCTTCTTTGATCGGAACCAAATTGACTGGCTATTGTAGTGGCGAAAGAAAAACGGCACCATCTTCGGCTAAGAGTGAAGAAAAAAATATTTATTAAATGATAGAGAGAAAGTAATTTTGCTGTAAAGTTTCTGGATAGCTATAGAGATAGGTGGTTTTGAGACTTTTTTCTCTATTTTCCAATCGGTGGGTTTGAGCGGAGATCAGTGGCTATGAGATTTTTCTCTTTTCTAATAGGTGAGTGAGCATTTGAGCTTATCTCTGTGCCATAAATGGTAGATTTTGTATCTAATGGTGAAAATTTCAAAATTACATGGCTTATAAACTGGCATGAGTGCTTTGGCCATGGTTAAGCAGATCGTGCTTTAGAATAACTTCTAAAGTGTCTAATACATCTACTTTGGATAATCAAAAAGTATTTTAATCATTTTGATCAACTTTGAGTTGATTTTGGATTTCATTGCTCTGAAAATCATTCTTCCCTACATCCCACTCTTTAACTGAGGTTAAGCATTCCTTTGGTAAAAATGGCTCCCAAACCATTTGTCTTCAATATTGGTTTCAACTCTTGATCAAATCTAAGTTTATTTCGAAGCTTTTTGCTTTATTTAGAGGCACACCCATGTTTTGGTTGCTATTAAGCCCTATTGACCGATTCAAATGCCTATGATTGTTGCATCATAATTGTCACTGTCCAAGCTTTTTTTCAATTAATTGGGGTTGGTTACACCAATCCTGGTCTGTCAATTTACTCTATGATTGTTGCATATGTTGATTGTTCTGCATATATGTGACATTCAATTGGGGTTCTTTAGAGCCATTCATCCAAGATTCAAAACTATGGCCATTAGGGTCTCAAATTATGAAATTTCAAAACTCCAATTTTGAAATGTCAACTCTGATATTTTTGAATTTGATCCCTATTTTGAGATGTTCATATCTCAAAGATGTGAATTTGAGGTGATTAATATAGGATTTCGGATTCCAGTAAACCATATATAGGACTCTTAAAGACCTTAGAAGCTTACCCATGAACCATAGAATCCGAGATGAAGCATGGTTTGATCCGGCCGGGGTACGTCATACGCGCCTGAAAAAAGAATGGTGACCTCCGTAATGGCACAAAAAGAAAAAAAGAAAAAGAAAAAAGAGGATAATAAAAAATAATAATAATTAATGGACGCGTTTCCCCTTGAGTCCGAAAAGCATTTTGAGCATCGGAAATTTATACGACGCCTTTAAAATCTATTTTCAATACCAAGTATGCAATTTGAAGCTAAAAAATATTCAGTGGATTCGTTACTATTTACCTTTAGAGTGAAATGAACTTTCTAAATAATAGGTTACAACTAGTGTAGAAAAAATCGAATCGTAACGGTTATAAGGGGTTATTTGATACTAAGAGGTAAATTGGGCCCAATTAGGTAAGTCCTATGTGCATTTATTTAAAAAAAAATAAAAAAATTAATAAAATATATTTAAGGTATTATTAAATAAAGTACATCTAAATGAAATTGAAAATTAATGAATTCATGTTTGGGGTATTTTTAAAATTTTATAAAAAAAAATGAGAAAATGTAAAAAATTAGACAAGTCCTATGTGATAAAAAAAAATATTAAAAAAATAAAAAATCTAATAAAATATAAAAAAATATATTTAAAATATCATTAAAATATCAAAATTATATGGCATGATAAAATTTGAATATGCATCCGTATACAAACACACCCTTACAATGTACTCTAGGTTTAAGACTTCAAATCCTAATTATTTTTTTTGCACCAGTATGGGTAAGGCCGAGATGATTGATATGAAGTTTTCAGGCACGTAACAACAATTTACCATGAGTTCCAAGGTGATGCTTTATTTATTTGGCCGCAGCCCATCAAAACATTTTCCAAAAATAATTTGATTTCTTTGCAAATTTCCCTCTGTCTCTCTCTCTCTCTCTACCATATTTTTATTCCAGTGAAAACACGGGCATTATCCACTCCAGAGGGCAGATTGCATGACGAAAAAGGGAATAAAACTAAACGAAAACAGTTCCGCTCGCTCTCTCTCTCTCTAACATGGACGGAGCAGTGGCCATGAACGCTCTACTTCCAATCCATGCATCTTCGAGGGCATCACCTCGAGAACACAGCTTCCTCTCAGGGACTCCTCTCATAGGCCAAAATCCATCTTGCAGTAGCACCAGTTTCAGCAACAAGAGTAGAAGAGAGGAAAACAGCGGTTTCATGGTTGTGACCGCCAAAGGAAGGAGAGGAGTGCAAGATAGGAAGTTCCAGAGACCCGCTCTTCCCCCTCTTCCCAAACTTGAAGACGATGGAAACCCCAAGTTCGTCATCTTCATTAGAACTGCAAAGGTCTGTATTTCTCTCTCTTCCCATTTCTCTCTCTGTTCCAGCTTTACTTGATTACATGTTCTCTTATTTCTATCATGGCAGAGAAAGGAAACAATTTTCTTATTTTTGAAATCTTTTCATCTTTTTTGTGCTCAAATATGTGCTTTTTTTCTCCTAATTCTTTATTTGGGTTTTGCGTGTATTTTGTGGGGTTGCTAAATTTGCAGTTCTTTGTGTGTTGAGATTTTTTTCTTGTCCATTTTCATTTGTATGCTGCATAATCTTTTACTGAATTACAGGGAAATTGCCAATTTTTATTTATTACTTTATATATTTAGTTTTATGTGTTTTTTTTTCAGGTTTATCTCTGGTACCCATTGAGTGTTGTTACCGGAGGAACCACTGCAAAGATTATGGTTGCTGCTAAAGATAACTTCCTTGGCAAATATATATATAAAGACACTCTTGCTAGAAACCTTGCTGCTGTGATTTACAGAGTAAGAGCTCCTTTTGTTTGTCGCTCTAAATTTTTTTTTTTTTCGTTCTAATCTTTTGTGGTTCCGTTTTATGTTTATTATTTTAGTTATGTTACTATCTGATCCTTTTGAACCCTCTAAGTTAGTCACTTTGTGTAATTTGTGCTTCTTTTAGTGGGCTTTGTAGTGAATTGTTGTGTATTTCATGCTAGTTATTAGCTGTGTGTTGACTGTTGAGTCTCAGGTGGATTAGGAAAAAACCCATTGTTAAGATTTTTGAATTTGATTTAGATCTCATAATATGTTTCTTTGGAAACTCCATATCTCAGATACAGCTACATAAGCACCTTGAAGTTTAGTATCAAGTTTTCCTAGTTCTAGATTATACTTAATTTCATGCTGAGTAAGAGCAGGAGCCCATCTCGTGTTGGTTTTGATTTTTGCATATGCGAAAAGAAGAACTATGAACTTGTAAAAAACACAATATTTGATTTAGGTTACTTGTGTCTGAAGCTTTCTTCGAGATAGTTTTCTCCCCCCAACGCCCCAACAACACACACACACACACACACACACACAACAAAAAAGCTCAGCAAAAACAAGGTTAGTATTTCTAACTGCGTCACCAGAGGGACTAGATTTAGAATGAACCAACTGTTTTGGAAGAGGGATAACATAGTCCATTGCTCCTCTCTTTTGTTAGGGGAACAGTCAATGGCTCCTCTCGATCAATAACGTGGGAATGGGAATAGCTGATCTTAAAATCTCAAACCTATGATATATTTTGTCTTAATGAAAAATGTCTTAGATAGTTTTTCACTTAGGAAGTCCTCAACAAGAATACTGCTTGTCGACAAGTTCATACTGAGTTCGGAATTTCTTTTTGTTTTTTTTCCATTTCTTCTCGTGGAGCCTTAACTCTAATATTTGTTGATTTCTTAAGTTAGGATTGAAGTGACTGTTTGATATAACCTATTGCTTTTGATAACATACATTCTTGATGACAGAACAACATTATCCAACAAACGACATGATTGTAGCTTGCACTCCTGACATACAATTCGGAAGAGCATCATTCTTCATATTTATCTTGAAAATGCTCTTTTTGTTTTGTTGTTCTATAACAGTGAGATAGCATATTTTCTGGTATTAGCAGAGAATAACACACTTGAGGGTGCTATATCTATAATCTCACAACCATTTTTCATTGTGTTGCTCAATTAACTTAACAATTTTCACCTTAACATTAGTAACGTTCTTGCAAATATTTCGATATCAAGGAAGAACGTCCCCCTAGTGCCACTTGTTGACCAAAAAAAAAAAAAAAAGAAAAAGAAAAGAAAAGAAAAAAACCTAAGTTGAAATTCAAATCCTGATCATATCTCATATGCAAAGTTCTGCATTATTTTTTTCTACTAGAATGTTCTGCATTACTTTGTATACAAAACTATAACAACACACACAGCACGATACTTTGCATGCCAACTACTAATAAGGGGGAAGAGGGGGTTGGAACCTCAAACTTCAGTTAACTCACATGGGATAGTTGTCATAATTGTGCTTATAAGACACAATTGAATAAGTAGAGAACACCAGCATTGGATTTTCAAAACAAAGAGAGAAGCTACAACATAGGTTGAGGGGATCAAGTCATGCACCTAACAAAGAAACATTAGAGAAAAGGGGGCCAATTAGGGTCCAAACAGGTCAAGTCAACCGATTAGGACCCAACCTAGCAGGGTCCAGGCCAGTCCCAAACCCAGACCCGACCCTCCTCGACCCGAATGTTTCCCTGGCTGGACCTGGGTCAAGACCCAACCCACAGGGTCCACTTATCTAGTCCAGATCCACACTGAGGTTGGGCTGACCCAGCAGGTCATCGGGTCAATCCAACCCGACTTGCATGCCTAAGGGGGACCTTAAGCAATATGTTATCATGGCCAATGTTTGCATGCTAAATAAAGATTGTAAAGATTGGGGTTCGTGTTGAGTTTTCAAATATAGAAAAGGGTGGTATCATGTTGAGTCTTACATATAATGGGGTCAACAAAGCTATGTCTTGAATGAGGACTGAGCATGATTCCGGATGTGTAACTAGTCCTTTTTGTTACTCTCAAAGCAAATGCTCATAGACCTTCTAAGATTGGCTTGACATATCAACCTTGAGATGGGTGTAGCTGTACGTGTTTGTATATGTCATGTCATAAGATTCTATGCCCCCTCAAGAGCATGTTGTCCATTTACTCCTTGGGTACAACCCAATCTAGGAGTGTTTTTGGGAAACCTTATTTTGGGGCTATAAACTCTTCAACCTAGCAACTAACCTAAAAATTAAATAAATAAATTTATTTATTTATTTCATTCTCTATGTTCTGTAAAAATAACATCTCAAGATTGAACAGAGACTGGCCAATTTTTGGAGGGTGAAATCTAAGTGTTTGAAGAATTCAGATTTGATTTCAATTATTTTTTGAAATAACCACATGGTGATTCTTTGGTGGATCCCAAAATTTTAGATTGAAAAAATCCTCCCAAGTAGTTTTTTTTCCCGAGGGAGTGAGCGAGTATACTCGGATGGGGGCATAATGTACATGCAAATTTGTCACTATGTTATTGGTGTATTTTATGTTTGTAATCATATTACTGTAGTCAAGCACCTACATGTCCCTGTGTATTTGCGCAATCATATTTATATCAATGAAACGAACTAGGACTAATGGTTTTTGCTGAACCCATATTGTTCTCTGGCTTATTGCTCATCGCTATCTTCTGCTGCGCAAGTAAACCATAAACCAAAATTCCAGTTTGCGGGTTTGGGTTCTTCTCTTATACACTTGGAGTAGAAAGATGATACATACAGCAACAAGAAGACTGTTTGCTACTACCGCAAACTGCAAATTTGGATTAGGGTTTACATGCACAATGAAGATAGAGAGGAGCACTAACCCAGAGAGTGAAGTGAGTCCAAGATAAATCACTGGGCCTGGTGTGTTTCATTGGTATAAATATGATTGCACAAATGCACAGGGACCTATAGGTGCTTTACTATACATGACTGCATACATAAAGTATGCCAAGGACATAATGACATATGTACACATGTATAGTCACAGGTAATTTGAGATTGATATGTCAAGCCAATCTTAAGAAGGCAAATGATCATGTGCCTTGAGAGTCAAGAAAGGACTATTTTGAGTCAATAGATTCTTTATGTGTGAGTCTCAATCAAAACACATCTAGAAGTGTGGTTGGGGGTTTTGGACTTGGTTTGGAGGAGTCTTGAGTGCAAGAAGCATTCTCGTACCTTCTTTAAGGTTCTGTGGCATCTCACAAGTTTTGTGGTAGATCTGTTAGTAAAGTGAAAGGCATCTTCAAGCCTAAATGTGCTTGTGTGCAGTTTTTTCCTCATGTGTTTACAAGATTTTCATATTCTGTGAAGTTAGATGTGTTTCTTACTCAGGGTGCATGCCCTTTGGGTTACTAGAAGCTGCACTTTAAGCACCTCAGGTATTCTCATTCTGTAAAACCTATTGTTTGACTTATCGTCACACTTGCATCCATGGGCAAAGAGAACTCGAGTACAGCTCAACTTACCACTTCTGGAACACAGAGTTTGATGCAAGAAAAGCTAAATGCGATCCTACATTTATTGTAGACAGGAGTCACCATGCCTAATACTTCTCAACATGTGACTGAATATTTATACTTCTCAACAGGTGCCTGAATATTTAGGTAATCGTAGGACTTCCTTGCTTTATCTTCAACTTAGGTCATTGACTTAGGAGCCTAGAAATCATATGTCAGATCCACCAGTAGCTTCCTCTGTTCCGTCTACTTCCATTCGTTGATCTGAAGTCTGTTACTTCGTGCTGATGGAAGATTGTTTCCTTTGTTAAGATGTATATTACTCTTATATTTTAATCTATGTTATTTGTTAGTCAGTTTGATGGTACTTTTGTCGTATTATTGTATAGGGGTGTTTATGTACTTTCTACAACCCAACCATTTGTATACACGGGATTAATCCCTAATTATAATCAAGGAGAATTCTGCCCAAGTTTCTCTGATATTATTAACATGGTATCAGAGCTAGGCTTGAATAAGAAACACTAATCGGACTGAATCTGTAGCAAAATCAGTCCAGTGTACAAAAATATCTGTTAATACTTTGTGAAGAATCAATCTTTCAGTTGTGAATTAAAAATTTGAATTTTTATAACAGTTCAAAATCCTAGATTTGTGGTACCGTAATATTAACATTGTTGCTGCCACTATAGAGATATTGTAGTGATCACTGTAGCATTCCTTACAAGTGTTAGTACATTTCGCTAGGGACCCTAATTTTCTTAAGGGATTTTGTTCTCAAATCCTTGATTATGAATCTATTTTTCAAGTGTTTTGGGGGTTGAAAAATAGTTGTGAAGCAAATTGATACCCAGTTGGGCTCTATTTTTTACTTGATCACACTTCTGGAGTACATTTGGAAGACATTGGACTTTATCAACACTTGTAGGGCATCCCATCTAATTTACGATCACCAGGGCGGAGATCATATATACAATTCCCTAGTTGAGCCAATTTATGCATGCACATTGAACTTCACATATGCATACTCTTACTTGTGTCTTGCAAATCTCAAGTCAGCATGTGGTTGGGGCATTCTAATTGACTGAGGGTACTCATCTAGTCTGCAGTCTAGTCTAATACTGACTGGGCCGGGTGTCCTATTGCTTGCATATCTACTACCAGTTATTGCACGTTTGTTTGTGGTAATTCGGTCACTGGGAAGAACAAAAAGCAAATTGTGATTGCTTGCTCTAGTTCAGAAGTCGAGTGCCGAGCTATGATATCCACAGAATTTAAGCTTATTTTGCTTACATGCATTAATTCATGACATGGGTTACACCTATGCATTATGATAATAGGCTGCTGTCCACATTGCGACTAGGCTGCCAACAGGCCAGGCTCATGCCGGGCCAAATTTATTTGGTCTTTTATTTTGTATATTGTGTAAAATCTATGTATTCTTCCTATCAAGTGTAATTATAATCATCCTAATAAAGAAAGAACAAAAGAAAGAAGAAGAATGTAAAATGGAAATCATTATAATGCAATAGTGCTTTTACAATGGAGTAATTTTGATGAAATGCATTCTAAAATCAATTTTCTCGTGCAAGAGTTGATGAATTTTGTTTTGCCATGGAACCATCTGTGACTTTGTGGGTCAAAGTTTTTTGTGGCCTTGACTTGAACAGGATGAGAAAGAGGTACAGAAGACAGCTTTTAAGCGATATCGTGTGTTGCGATCAGCTTCAGAGTTTCGTTATGGCTACAAACTCGTTGTAAAGCTTCTCTGAACTTCCAGACATTATTTGTTTTTTCTCACTTATATTCTTCTGAAGTCTTGTACTTCAGCTTTTTCTAACTTTTATTTTAATTTTTTAATCTGAGTTGCAGGAAAATGGCAACTTGAGAGCTGCACTTGCTACTTCAGATGTTATTGAAGTAATCCTTCATTCACTTTTTATCTTTTCTCGAGCTATTGCTTAAATAATTGTTTCTTTCCACCTCATCCTAAATATTCCATGCATTTTGTACTACTAATTATCTGATGAATAGTTCTCTGTTTTTTATTTTGTATTGAGTAGTGTTAAATAGTGATCATAGTTGAGCTTGGGCTTGATATGTTAGTTATTGACAGTTGTGACACTACATCCCAATATCAATTCCTACTGCTAAAGTACAAGCCAAATCCCAAGATCGATTCCTACTGCTAAAGAACAACCCAACCAAAACAACCCCCCACCCCACCCCAAAAAAAAAAAAAAAAAAAAAAAACGACAAAAGACAAAAAGTAAAAAAAGAAAAGAGGACCATAAAGCATATTGGTCATGTAGATTTGTAACATTGAAGTCGCCCAGAAATTATGTGCTTCGTGTTAATTAAATATTTAGACAAGAAAACATCTTACTATTTAAGTAATGAGGAAAAAAAGTGAAAGGTTTCCAACTGTTAACAGCTCTTGTAAATTCTATCCTTTTATTACAATGTTAACAGCTTAAAAAAAAACAAGAGTTTCCAACTGTTCACGTTTAAATTTTGGCCTTGCACTCCCCAGGATATGCAACTCGCTCTAGATTACATGCTATGTATGGGCTGTACTGGCTCTAGAAGACTTTTATTTGTCTGTTAATCATAATTTTGTGGATTTATACAACACCCAGGGAATGTATTACAAAACTTCAATCAAGACTTTGGTGCAAGTGAAGTTCGGGGGTAGTTTCACATTCAAAAAAAGAAGAAAAGAGGTTCAGGGTTAGATTAGTGAAACTGCCATTCCACATGCTGCGATAGCAAGGCAAATTCTCCCTTGATGATCCATAGGTAATTCCTACTTAACTCCAAGAACCATTTACAGTGACCTAGTTCTAAAAGCATTAGGAATGTTAGGGGTTTTGACTAAGTTATCAAGGATTATCTTAGCCCAAATGTTGGGGACTAAGATCAATTCACTTGACATTAGAATGTTTAGTTAGGTCACTGATTGGTTACGTGGTGCCATTAGATAGCAGTACAGTGAATTTCACTGGCATCTGAAACCTTTAGATATAAGCTTGGCTACTCTCTCTCTCTCTCTTTCTCTCTCTCAGGGTGCAGAATTTGGCACGTTAACCTTCCATATGTACTTTTCCATGTGAGACATCACGATGGTCATTGATTTCCCAGGTGCCCCTTAAATACGTTTGGCAGTTCTAGGATGCTCTTGGGTTTCTAATTAAGTTTAGCTTATTGGTAATGGTTTCAATGTCTAGACTTGGTGTATTTTGGCCATTTTTAAATCTTGGGGTCTAATTCAAAGACTTTGGTGTATTTTTTGTTAATGGTTGTATTCTTTCTGAGGAGAAAGTAGACTTCGGTGGGGCTACTCTGTACAACACCTTTTATGAGGTGCGAGTTGGTTCAAGTAGAAGGCTCAAAAAGGGCAAGGGGTTAGTCCATAAAGACATTGTTGGAAGTAGTGAGAAAAAACATGGGGACTTATGGCCTCACTAAAGGTATGGCATAGAGCTGAATGACATACCAGGATTCATGTAGCCAAACCCAAATAGTTGGGAAAAGACTCTAATAATGATGACGATGATAGTTGTATTGTTTTAGAGGAAAGCGAATTTACTGATCACTGATGTTCTAGCCCCCTTTTTTAATATTAGAGTTTCTCTTCTGAAGTGGTTATGTAAAAATTGCTTTTGATAGTCATTGATTTACGAAGTTTGAGTGGACTAGAATTTTCCAGTGTTCTTATCTCCCTTTGTGACCTTTGGTTTAATCTTTCAAGTTGTATCTTTTGCAGCATTCTTATGTAGTTGGCTGTGAATAATAACTTGTGTGAGTTTTTGTCGAGGGTTGGTTGATGTTCTTCGTATCTTTCCAAGATTAACCTTATCTTGTTCTTTCTATTAAATTAACTTCGATGCAATTTGAATATGTACAGCTTCCGACACAAGAGGAACTGAAAACTGTTCTCGACAAAGTGAAAGATTACTTTGGCAATGCTACCAGTGGCGCCAAAGAATCCTTTGGGAAACTTACTTCCTTGGGTCCGGGATTGACTGAGGAGGTCGATGAGAAAGCAGAGTTGAGTTTCCTTTCACTTCTTTTTGTGTTAATATGTTTGTATCCTAGGATACTGAAATGCTTTTCTCATTTTCTAAGAAATTAACTGAAAATCATCTTTTCCCTTATTAATACAACAATAATTCCAATGAGGAAAATTCATCTAAACATGTAGAAAATGAGAAAAGCATTTATGGTTGAAGTGTGACAGTACAGAAAGATGGGTTTTAGGGAAATTGCTAAAAATTCCATGTTTGGTGGAAAGAAATAGATAGCTAGCTTCTTTGGGAATTGCATAGATGTACTTATATTTTCTTAGCCTATACGCGACCTTCCCCTGCCCCAATCTCTCTCTCTCTCTCTCTCACACACACACACACACACACACACACAGACACAGACACACACACACACATGCGCCCACGTACAGTGAGAAATTGGTAGCATGGATTTTGCTGCTGTTAACTCTTGAGTGAGAGTGAGAGTGAGAGTGAGAGGCATTACAACTCTTAGAAACATAATGGCACAGTTTGTTTTTTTTTTATAAGGTGTAATGGCACAGTTTGTTCTAAAGAAAATAATGGGGTCAGATTAGGTTTTCACTTCTCAACAAAATTACTGCTGACTTAATGAAATTTTCAATCCTTAGTTTTATATCCTTTGCAAATCCCTTGTCTCTCACGCGAAAATCTATGTAGGGTCAAGGGCTGAAGCTGATGGGTTCCTTTCCTTCTGGGCTGGCCTCACCTGTTGATGTCAATTGTCAACGAGCATGCAAGTTTTGAAACGTTCCTTTGATGGCTTCATTTATAAGTTGGGTATTTAACTGATACAACACAGGTTTGGTCTTTCTTAGTATATTTAATCAGCCTCATGGAGTAATACTGTAGGTCTTTTTCAGCAAGTCGATTTTTAATATGAAAATGGTGCGCTCTTGGAACCTTCCTGTATTTCTTGTTCATAATGTCATCTACATTTGATTTTCTTAGCGCAATAATTTCAGCTTTTTGAATTTGATTAAGGCAATCAAGCTTTGAGAATATATGGCATAAATCACCTTTCCTTTTGTATTATTTATGTTTCTCATTGCTAAAATAATGATCTCTCTCTCTCTCTCTCTCTCTAAATTTGCCTCTTTTTTTTTCATTAGTTGTGAATTATAGTGATGCTCTTATGCGAGGACATATGATTGGGTTGTCCTAAAAGCCCATGCCAAAAGAATGTTGTTGGTTGAAGGCCAGCAAACATACATTAATAGAACAAATCCACCGTCAGAAAGATTCATTTACTAAGGTCCCCATCATGTGCGGCACATTACTACTAAAATATTTGCTAGTTTGATTTTTCATTATTATCATAATACTAGATTGGGAGACAGAGCTGGAAAGATTAGCTGTATTGGAGAGAGAGAGAGAGAGAGAGAGAGAGAGAGGGAGGTGTATATATAGATATATATAGAGAGAGAGGTGATATATATATATATAGAGAGAGGGGTATGTTATGTATGTATGTATATATGTTAAGTTAGAGAGAAGGAGACTGAGAAGGGTATGGTATGTATGTTTGTGTAGAAGTTAAGAGGGAGAGAGAAGGGTGGTATGTAAAGGAGGGGGAGGGAGAGGGGCATGTATGTAAGAGAGAGAGCGAGAGGGGGCATGATATGCATGTAAGTTAGAGAGAGAAAAGGGTATGATATGTATTTGTAGAAGTTAGAGAGAGAGAGAGAGAGAGAGAGAGAGAGAGAGAGAGAGGAGGTAGTAGTATTATTAGTTGTTAGTAGTAGTAGTAGGAGGAGAGGAGGTAGGGTAGGTAGGGAGGGGAGAGTAGTAGTAGTAGTATTAGTTAGTTAGTAGAGA